GAGTTCATTGTTGAACATAAACTTGCTTCTTTCTCTGATAGTCGGTCTTACTGTTTGCCAGCTTTTCTTTCCGAGGATAGACATGGCTCTCTGGGTAAAAATGCTGCGATTTTCAGTTCTCGGTCTGTCTCGAAGCGACTAGACGTCAAGAAAGCGTTATTTTCTAAAAGTCAATCAGTAGAGCGGTAGTTGAAGAAATTTTGCATCTCATCTGCTAACCTGTCACGCGTCACGCTAATAGCTATGGGCAAGAGGGAATGAGGCAAGCACGAACAAAAAGACGGCAAACAACCTGGAAAAAGGAGGATTAATCCTGGTTTTTTTAAATTTATTTCCCCTTTCTTCAAGCTGCTTCTCAACTGACCAAATCCTGTACCAGTCTGCCTTGCCTGAGTAGCCGAATGTTACGCCACATATTGTAATAACTGACACAAAATTTATTAGTCACGCAAAATGTAATACCTACTTTTGGTACAAAATGTAAAGTAACGCTAAATGTAATAACATCTGTAACGCAAAAAGTAATAACTTTTGACGTAGAATGTAACGCACCATTTAATAGCACAAAATGTAATAATATTCTGGGCGGTACGTGTTTCTTCGAAATATGAGTGTTTATGACGGCAAGGTACCAAAAATCTGCGATTTCGTAAAGCGACGAACTCCTCGAGGGTTTTTCAAGAAAACTTTGATTCTTCAGGGAAAACCGATCAATAAATGAATTCAGACAAAGTCCATGGAAATAACCAACCTCGTTTCCAGAGTCTCTCAAAGACCCTGGAAACGAGGTTGGGAAATAACAAAAGTATTTCTTTTGTTTTCTAAAAGTTTGTGAATAACTGCCATGTTTACTGATAGTGTTTTAACATCAACTGCATATCCTTCACTATGTTGTTCTTTTTGACGTCACACTGATTAACTTCTTGCTACATCAAGCTATTAGTTACTTAGCTTGTTCTTTTGAATAAAAATTACAATTAAAAAGAAATGTTTTGAAAAAATTAGATAGATATGAAGTCTCAAAAATGCACCAAATTTGCCTAGGCGAGTATCTTAATTGCTTGCAATCGTTAGCAGTAAAAACAAACCCATAACATGCTGTTCATGGTCGACTAGAATGTAGTCCAGCATGGGAATAGTCCAGTTAAACGACAGGGGAATGTGTCACTTTGGTTTCAGATTTCCATTGATGAAACAGAAACCCCCAGTCGGTTGACTGACCCCCTACTACCCCACATCCCTCTGTGAATTTCACCCAAAAAAGGTTTGTAATTTTTCAGTTTTGTTAGGACCAATTTGTCATAAGAGAGGTAATCATATATGGACGGAAGTTGCATTTCCTGTCACGTAAAACGTAATGGAGATGTTGGCAACAGATATATTTTAGATTTCATATATCCAGCCCAAACTAAATAAAATGCCCTATTTAGGATCAAAGTGAACACCTCTTCACAAAGTTAAATTAAAATTAATGGTGTATACTTCAACTTTTAAATTTAAAATATCTCGTGCATTAAATTCTTAATGTTGTCGTGATATATAAAAATATATTTCGAAGAAACACTTACCGCCCAGAATATTATTATTACATTTTGTGCTATTTAACAAATTGACGTCAGTTTTTCATGCGTCTGTCCTGTTATTGATCATGAATTTCGTCATAGCATTCTCAAAGCAGCTGTGGATCGACCAGGCGATAGCCGAGTGAATCCGCAGACTACTTTGACAATGTTATGACGAAATTTATTGTCAATTACAGGACAGACGCATTAAAAACTGACATCAATTTGTTTTCTATGATAACAAATTGTCAAATTGTCCGCTCTCGCTCGTTGACGCATCGAATAGATTATAAATTCATGTGTCTGTCCGGTTATTGACGATAAAAATTAGCCAATGAGCGCGCGAGAATTTCTGCAGTTATCGTAAAAAGATCGTTTCCACTGTCACGCAATGAAAAAATAAATCGAAAACTATTCAGTGGAGAAAGTCAAGAAATTGTGATCTTATGGAAATAGATAGAGAAGAAACTTCTCCAAGTTTTAGGTTTCTGCGTTTTCCCAGACTGCAGATATTTGTCGAAATGTTTCGTAGAAATTTACAGAGCCCATTACGGAAGTTGGTGCACCTCTGTGGTGCACCAATATGGCGGCCGGAAAATAGTCTAAACATCTGGACCTTACTTTGGCTATTTAGGCGCCTGATTATCCGTACTGAACAAACAAACATTTACATAAGCACCTAATGATCTAACTTCTAAAAAAGCTAAAAATCATGAGATAAGTATATATTTTTCGACAATGCCATTGTAGCTTTGTGATTTTTTGTGTCTCGCACCACCATAACTCTGAAATTCAAAATACGCTGGTTTTCAAACGAAGCACACTATTGAGCTTTAACATTGTAAACAGATATAAGTTTACCCCCTCTTATGCCCGATGGGGATAAAAACTTTGGTGGCTCTTTAGTTTTCGATTTTAGAAAATGATGACGTCATAGTGAAAACGATCTATTAAATTTTGCGTTACCTTTGTGCACTACATTTTGCGTCAAAAGTTATTACGTTTTCGCTACTATTACATTTTGTGGCAAAAGTTATTACATTTTGCGTTACTATTACATTTTGTGTCAGTTATTACAATATGGACGTAACAGGCGAATCCTCGAGGAGAAAGGGAAGTAATCGAGTTGAGATCGATTTTCCCTCGCGGCTTCTCGGCCGCCGAAGAAGCACACGCGTACAAAATCCAACCAGCTTAGAGCTACGTTGGCTACACTCCTGCTAACTTTAATCTTGCTAGCAATAGAACAAGAAATAATACTATCAACTTCCCTCCAATCAATGATGAAAAAGTGCTAAAACCGAAACGCGTCATTTTCCCATAAATTGAATGAAGATGAAGCTTCAATTTCTAATTTAATATGACCACTTTTGCAGTATCCTGTTCGCGCCCGTCGTCTTTGTCCGGTCTCGTTATGAGAACCCAGCATTTAGCAGATCTTAGCAGTTTGTTCTATGAATAATTTACAAGTATTAATCAGAAATTGAATGAGTGCGTTATACTTTCTGGATGATTTTATTGTTTGATTTCTTTTTCAGTATGCTGACTGTATGACTCCGTCACTTTATAATAGTTATACTTTGAAAATAAAGTCGAACCACTCGTGCTCCTTACGGAAACCCCTCACTTACAGACTGGCAGAGCGCCCGTATATTCTTTAAAGTAATTTACCCTTTCTGTACGTACACAGTACAACTGAATCACTATACGTGCCGTTAAACATTTTTCAGTCATACGGATACAATCAATTGCCTTGTGTCCTCTCATATGATAAGCTATCATTACGTTCTCAACTCAGTTAGTGAGTAATCTAGTAATAGATCTGGGTATCTAGTGACCTAGATCGAGTAATC